TAAATACAAAAACTGATCATTTATATACTGAGAAAGTTTCAAATAAAAACTCGCTTTTTCGAATTTTTGACAAATTTGTAAAACTGAGTTGCTGCTTATTTGTGCCAAACTCAGACTAAAACGGTATTGCGCGAACAACAATAGACTTAAGAAAGTGCGTTTAATGGATTTAGATAGCAAAACGTGTAGATTATGGTCCCAGAAAGCTTCAAATAGAAACTCGCTTTTTGAAATTTTTGACAATTTTTTCCGCGGAGCAAAACTCGAAATAAAAATTATTGGCGCAAAAACCTGAAGTGGCCACAAATTGCGCTAAGCGAAGTTAGATAGGAAAAAGTCTGGTTTATCCAACTAGCAAGTTTCAAAGAGAAACTCGGTTTCCTGAATTTTTCAAAAATTGTCAAATCTGAGGTGTACCTTTTTTGTGGAGCGTAAAAACTCAGAAAAAAAATCAATTTCGCGAAAACCATTAGAGCCAAGAAAGGGCGCTAAAAGGGGTTAGATAGCAAAAGACCTTGCTGATAGATGCAGGAAGTTTCAAATAGAAACTCGCTTTTAGCGGTTTTGGACGAATTTTTAAATCGGACTTTGTTTACGAAGAGCGCAATTTTGGAAGACTCAAACTCAACATTTTTTGCGCCAACACCAAAAGAGATGCGAAACTGCGCTTAAAGAGGTTAGATAGGGCAAGGTTCGGTCTTTTCCAGCAAGTTTCTAAGAGAAATTTGTTTTTTTTATTGTCGTTTTTGTGCGCAACGCGGTTTTGCAAGGCTGAGAACAAAAATAAATTGCACATAAACCAAAAGAGTTAAGGCGATACGCTGACTGGAGTTAGATAGAAAGCGTTCTGGTCTAAATACTACTTTAAGTAGCAACAACGCTACACATAGAAACTGATGATGGTGGAAAACACCGAAACGTATTTTAATTGATAAATAGACAATAAATGACTGAAGCCCAGGAATTGATTTTGATTTGGAATTGAAACACAGTCGGGAAAATATGTACTATTTTTTGTGCAACGCGAGTTTTCAACAGTTTTAAGGCAAAAAACGAGGTTTATTTAAATGCTTAGTTTGGGGATGCATTTGGGACGTTCTGCTTTCTCAGGCAGGAGCCTTCTTCAGGGAGAAGGTTACCTTTGCGACAGGAATGAATGAGTATCAGAGTCCAGAGTACTGATTTTGATGCCACCCAATCAGTGATGGATTTCGATTGAAATTTTCCAGATAACTTATTCCCTGTTTATTATTTATTAATGCCGCAATTTCGCTTTAATTACACGTTTTAATTTCGCGGCGTTCATTGAAATTTCCTGTTTAATGCGAACTTCTATGATTTGTTTTAGCAATGTTTTTTCATAAATTTATAGCTGGATAACATTTTGTTGATAATCTCAGTTTTACTTGTGGTTCGTTCTGTCCCATGCACTAAGAATCACTTTCTGGCCCCAAATAATCAACACATTAGTGTTTATACTTACAACACTCGAGCGCTAAACACTTTGGCAACATCAGTTATGTTTCAGTTTATGTTTAAAATCCTCAAAGAGGGCATGAAAATTTAATTAAAGAATTTATAGGGCCGAAAGTTGAAATTAAATGTATTTTTTTGGATCAATTTTAAGCAATTTGCAAGTTTCGCTCCAAACATCCTCAATCAGCTGCGGATCTTCCGCTGAAGCGTATGCAGCAACAGCTTCGCAATCGTCAAAGTGGCGTCCACTCAGATTTTCCAAGTTTGGTTCAGTTGCAAGATAGATTACGGTTTGGGCTCCCTCTTCTGGACTCTAGAATCAAACGAAAACTGTATCTATTTATTCCAGTAACGGTTTTATGGCCTCACTGAAAATTCCCATTTATAAAATAAGCAAAACTGGCATCAATTTTTCAGTTTTACGATCCAATCAACCAAGTGTCTCAAATTTATGGCAGTATAAACATTGGACACCACTTTCCCTACAGTTCACCGACGAGTTTACTGCCTGATATAATTTAATATCATACAGAAACTAGTCGTAAAACTTCGTATGTTCTTAGGTAGGTGCCGTTGATCAGCAAAGAAATAATTGAAAGTTGGGTTTTTTGCGCTTTTAAAGCGTTGGAGAATAGAATTTGTTCCTGATGTTTCGCTAGCATAAGTGAGTTGCACCTTCAGAGGTGGTTTGCTTGGCGCAGCAAGCCATTAAATTGAATTTAGAGATGAACAAAACCGCGCTGGGTAAAAACGAATTTTGGAAAATTTGCCACAATTTCCTCGGTGAGCAGTGCACATTCAAATTAGCTAGATACATAGAGCACATATTGCTCTATCTAAGCCCGTTGAGCGCTTGCTTTTGTCTCTACTGGTTTTCCGAAAATTGATTTTTAATCAGCGCCTTGCAAAATCGGGCATTACGAAAAGATTGCCATATTTAAAAATGTGCCAAGAAACCCTGAATGCGGGTCTCTGACTAAAACTGTTCCCATTTGTAGAGCGTGGCCTGCTCTATCTAATACGATTAGGCGTGGCTCCTAATCTCTTTTGGCTTTCGCGAAATTAATTTTTAATTCGCGTCTTGCAAGGCCGCGCTCCACAAGAAAAGCGGCAAGTTAGATTTAAAAATTTGCCAAAAAATAAAAAAAGCGAGTTTTTAATAGAAACTTGCTGAGTATTTAGACCAGAAYGCTYTCTATCTWACYMCAGTCRGCGTATSGYCTTAACTCKTTTGGTTYCTGTGCAATTGATTTTTGTTCTCAGCCTTGCAAAAYCGMGTTGCGCAAAAAAAACGGCAAGTCAGATTTAAAAATTTGTCCAAAAATAAAAAAARCWAATTTCTCTTAGAAACTTGCTGGAAAAAGACCGAACCTTGCCCTATCTAACCTCATTAAGCGCAGTTTCGCATCTCTTTTGGTGTAGGCGCAAAAAATGTTTTATTTGAGTCTTCCAAAATTGCGCTCTTCGTAAAGACAGTCCGATTTCAAAATTCGTCCAAACACGCTAAAAGCGAGTTTCTATTTRAAACTTCCTGCATCTATCCGCAAGGTCTTTCGCTATCTAACCCCTTTTAGCGCCCTTTCTTGGCTCTAATGGTTTTCGCGAAATTAATTTTTTTTCTGAGCTTTTACGCTCCACAAAAAAGCAGCACCTCAGATTGGAAAATTTTTGAAAAATTCAAGAAACCGAGTTTCTCTTTGAAACTTGCTAGTTGGATAAACCAGACTTTTTCCTATCTAACTTCGCTTAGCGCAATTTGTTGCCTCTTCAGGTTTTTGCGCCAATAATTTTTATTTCGAGTTTTGCTC